AATTACAATCTTTTGCACGGATAAAGACTACGAAACCATCTCTCAATGATGTAATCTTTTGCACAGACAAAGACTACGAAACTCTCGCCTCTCGCACAATATTCTTGAATTAGGCTACGCCCTCTGCTAACCTAGATTACAAGAATATTGGCTTTCTCTCCTCTGCTTGGTTTTTCCTCCAACAATAAAAAAATATATATAGGGAAACCAAAACTCTATCTCTTGTCTAACTTCTTAATTAGAATAGGATTCAAACTCCTAATCATGATGAGACCCAATCTCCTAATCATGATAGATCTCTAATCATATCCAATTCTCATGAAGTTACACAAATAATCAAAGACACAATCCCAACATTTTTACCTTTGTTGCTTCAGTTGAGATTACGTAGGATGGAGGCGAACGTGTAAAAGTGGTAGAATCCCTTTTTCACTGTAGCTGAATTGGGTTTTTAATGTCGAAGAGTCCTTTTTTCTTGTGAAGTTCTGATGCTTTGTATGGGCAGAGATAAGCACATAGATAAGGATAAAGTTAAGGGATGCAGGGAAGCCAATTTAACAAAATCTCATCTATACCAAGTGATTTTCATTAGTTTGATCAGATTTTTTTTTCCGGTATTTCTCGGTTTCAACATTTTTGTTTTGGATATAGATTGGCTCACATGGATAGGCAGTTTGACTGAGGATGAGTTTAAGGATTTGAACTTAAAACAATATATTATTAGACATCTTGATTCATTGATGCTTTACTGTCCTGCTTTGTTTGTTTCAACTCGTTTGAGATTGTTAAGGGTTAACCTGAGATTCATAGTGGATGACAATTTTGTTGAGGGATTAGCCTTTTTACTATTTATCATTATTATTATTATTTGCATTAAATACTTGTTAATATTCTCTAAGGTACACATATTTTTATTTTGAAAACTTTGGTTGAATAATTTCAAGTCTGACCTGACAATGTTTATTTCATGGTTTTTTTATGTACATATTGTTTGAAACATTGTATTGCCTTTTTTTTCTATATACATGTATTGTTTGAAACTTTGCATTATACATTTTCGATTTACATATAATTATATATCAATAGTGACAAGATGGAAAATCATTAACTACTGAATAGCTGTGATCGATGCCAGGATGGTCTATGAAATGATAATTCAACACATTGTACGAGGATGGTAGATGATGAGATTACTAGACCATTGCAGATGGTACTAAGGTAGTTGTTGGTTGATTATATTTTAGTTAAGTTATAAAATTGAAGTCATATAATTATGAGTCAGATACAGAGTTGAAGACAATATTAAATTAGGCCTTGGTTATAGGGACAGTTTGTGTTTAGTTTATATAATAAAACTCACACATCATACACAGTAGAGGTGGGTCATATAATTAACAGTTTCATAGAGCATGCTTATTATAACTTGTATTTCCATAGGATTACTCATTTAGTTATAGAACACAATCATGCACCTCATGTTCCTATAAGCCATGATTTTATAATTCCCACTCATATAACTCAACCAATTTAATCCTTACAAATAAAGCCCCAATTTGGGTTGATCCATGCTTGCTTTGTAATCTTGCATCCATGTAATTCTACTTAATGCTCACTTTACGTACTTATTAACAGTAGACATATGTGAAAGTTAATGTAAGCCACGCTCTTGAAGTAAGCTCCAGTATCTAACCCCTATTCATGTGAAGCTCTTAATATAAGTCAGATAGTAAATGTTTTAAATTAGTGTTCTTTTATTCATATTCTAATAACTCATGCTACATTTATTTTTAGTTGTCTTGTATACATAAGTTTGTAATCTATATACGCTTACATTGAGAGTTATTCCTGAATATTCTTAGAACTTATGGTGCGTTCACCTTCCTCTCAGTGCATCCCAGTACTAATGCATATAGCATAGTATTTATTATGAACATTAACAATGTAAATGGTGCATTTGTATACTGGAGCCGAAGTGGCTATGAGCAGGTGAAACAATTTCTTTTATCATAGACAATAGATGATACCTTATTGGATCATCATGGATGACATGCTTATGGGATCATTGTGAATGATGCGAGGATTTGTCCGACATGATTATGTGATCATTGTGGCAGGTACCAAGATGGAAAATCATGTGGCTATTAGATAATTGCAATCAGTGCCAGGATGGTCGATGATGTGATAATTGAACACCTTGTACAGTAAGAAGATGGTAGATGACAAGATTAGTAGACCATTGCAAATGGTGCCTAGGTAGTTGTTGACCGATTGTGGCATTGTGATGATGGAAGAGGAAATATGGTCATGTATGTGATTGGACTTTTAAGTGCTTATATATGTTGTATTATGCCACTAGTTGAATTGCAACTCATTCTGCACATGACCAATATGACATACTTCATCACTCACCATACATGTTAAATCAGGAAGATGTTAATATGTCGTTTCATGTGATCAATCATGTATAATATTCATATTACACACTAGTCCGTTTCCATGCATGACATTCAGGCTTTATAAATGTAAAAAAGTAGCGAACCTCAAAATCTGAATGGCACAATCATACATAAATTCAAATAAAAAATTCATGGCTCTCCTAAAGTGAACCTAATTAAAGTATGACACTATAATAGATGGCATACAAACCAAAACTTAGCTGAACTATAATTAAAAATAGGTAAATTTTGGGTTTGTGTTCCCCTAAGGGTTTGTTTGTCCTCTGTACCCACCAGCAGACAACTTATAAAATATCAACCGACATATTCAGCTTTCTGAATGTTTGAAGACATCAAAAAGAGAAGGCTTTTCTAGCTTGTTTCTTAGGATGAACACCTAGGCTCTTACTTCTCTTTTTATATTTGGTGTCGATCCTCCTCAGTCTACACATGTGTCATGCGTCATATTTTTAGAGTTTGTCGAAAATGTGAATGGTTACTCTTTTCGGGTTTGTATATATGGTCCAATAGGCTTATATGTATATTTATAAGTATTGACGCATGTAGTATAGAAATAATTGATCTCTCTATGAAGCAACAGTTGTTTAAGATAAATGCTTATCTAGAGTCTCTATGTTGAATTCTTGGAGAAGCTTGTAAGCTTATATAAGTTGGGGACTATATGTGACTGTTGTGTCACTATTGATTGTATTACTAATTACAATTTATTTGCTTAAGCAAGCCTATGTAACTACGTTGCTATTATAATTGGGTGCATGTTATTGATTTTGTGTTCCCATTGTGCCCTTGTGTTGATTTTGTGTTATGTGGCATGACCGCGATACCGCAGGTAGTGACTCAGATTAGCACAGAACACTTCTTAATTGAACTTCATTACACTCTCAGCTTCTTTTTTCTATTAATAGTACATACTCTGACCCACTGCTTCTAATATGACTACCACGGTCTTGGGCTCAATTCTACGTTGGTTTATCACAAAAAAATGAAAAAAAAAATAGTACATACTCTGAACACAATTTATAAACTCTACACAAAGAGAGAGAGGGGGAGAGAGAGAGAGATTGTATATGAAGCATGTGTTTGAATACATAGATAAGGATATGACTATGCATATCTACTTGTTCAGAGATTTTATATTTATAGCTTGAGTAAGGTTTTAACTCTAATGTCAACAGTGTTTTAAAAATAGATCGATTTTATGGATATATCGCCGACATATAGGGTTTGGACCACTGCCAATATGAATTTTGGAAAATTAAATAGGTTATCATTTTTCACCGATCTCCTCCTATATATCGACGATAGGTCTGATTAATAAGCCGCTTTTTATAGGGTCTAAATCGGCTGATTTTGTTAGAAAATACATTTCAACTATTGATTGGCTTTTGGGAGCCAAAACCCTTATTTTTCATACCCGAACCCGATAACCCCTAAATAAAATTAAAACCACCAATCTCACTCATTGTTTCCCACCGTGTTTAACGCAACCAGTCCTAATTTCTCTTCATCTCCTTCGCTCTTTCCTCAAGTTAAATCGCTCAATTATTCTGAGTCCTCTCTCCAAGGTGTTTTGGTATGTTTATATTTCAGTAAGTGTGCTTAGATTATATTTGCGGACATTATATTATAAATGCTCACCATTCGATATGACACTCTGATTTTTACTACTTATCCCCAATATATTCCGATAATTGCAATCCGATATAAATTTTGGTCATCTGATATATTTCCGATAACTGATATTTAAAACCTTGAATGTCAAACATGTGTTTGGGTTATTAGAGAGGAGGGAAGGAGAGCAATTGGAGGAAAAAATAGAGAAAATAGACAATATGGGGAGACAGAAACAAACACACACAGAGTATAGGACAAAAGGTTAGAAAACTCGATTTATCTCGCAATAAAATCACATTTGAGGACTGAGTTAAGTTCATTTTGATAGTCAGACGCAAAAACCATGTCATTTCAGGGCCACAAGGATATATGATCGAAAAACTGAATCGATATTTATTTTTGTGGATCAATGAAGACAAGGATCAGGCACCATGAAGCGAGCTTACAGTCAACCCATAAATATCTTTAGAAAAAAGTTTGATATCGAACGCAAAACTAAGAACTGTACTAGGCTTTGAAGAGTTAGGAAGAACCTATGTAAATTTGAACCCTTTTTAATGTTTTGTGTCGTCCTGAAAGCTAATGAGAACTTCAGAATACTCTTAAGAGAGCTATATCACTAGACATGTCATCCCTGATTACCAAAGAGGCCTTTAGGCAGCGGCAGCGGTGAATTTCTACACTGCTGTAATTTATTAGTCGCCTTTCTGAGAATAACCTCACCATAAAAATCAAAAAGAAAGGATATATGTGAAGTAAGATGGGTGCAAATAACTCGAGTTTTATGCATGTGCTTGTATCCTCTAAGATGGATGATAAAAGATGGATACAAGTGGCTCTCATGATATGTTCTTTAAATACTGATATATCTCCACAAACAAATTGATAAACACAATAAAATTAACTGAAAGAATAATCTTGTTCCCTCACCTGGATGAACTTTTGACCTTTGATGAATTGCCATTTTCTCTTCAAAACGACCTATAGCATGTCTGTAGGCGTCAAGTTGTAAAACAACCAGCTGTTGAGTTTGATGGTCCCCAATCATGCGCACAATGAAGTGTAAAAGCCCATTAGCGACCTCCTTATCAACAAAAAAATCATCCGAGTAGAAGAGAATTGGATTCAAATAGTAACCAGCAGAATGAAGATGGCTATGGAGATAGTTGTTCCATATGTGATCTATTATTATCCAAAAAGGCTCATATCTTGCTCCTTCACCTCCTAAGTTCCTCTTTATTTCTTCCTTTGCCCGATCCATGGAATCATATAAGAAACCCATTGGAGGTGCATCACTTCTATTAATCCTATGCAAAACACCAACTAGTGGATTTGTGACCTTCAAAACATCAGCAACAGAAGCCCAAAAGGAAGGATTTTTGACCAGTTCGCATATGGCTCTACCTTTCGTTTTAGAAGCCCACTGCGACATGTTCCACACGGATGAGTTGAATGCATGCAGCAAATTGTCTTTCTCAGACATCATGTTTTCCAATGTAATAAATGCTGCCACTGATTCCAATCTGGAAGTCCGGATAACCACTTCTCTTCGAATGTATGCTTTCATCAATTCCAGAGGAAAGGCATGACTGTAAATGAACTGGGTAATGGTCTTAGCCTTAGTAAGTACCTCCTTCACATGTTCAATCATCGATATTTTGTCCAAAATAAGATCTATGCAACGATCTGCACATATTGTCCAGAATATTGTATTGTACTTCTCTGCTACCTTATTGCCCACAGCCTGCATATAACCTGTTAGATCATCAGTAATGACCTGAACAACATTTTGGACACCCACCTCCTCGATAACTTTACTGACCACAAAGAAAATTGCATCAATGTCTCTAACAGTATCAGAAGCATCAACAGATCTCAGGAAAACAGTCCCTTGTGGGCAATCTACAACAAAAGAAATCAGGCTCCTGCCACTTTGATCCTTCCAGCAATCCAACAAAATGCTGCATCCAGTTTTCTTCCAAGAACTTTTCACAGCATCCACATGTCTACAAACTTCTTTGAAGTCTTCTTCAAGGATCCACCCTTTGAGTTCATCATACCTAGGAGCCTTGAACCCGAGTCCACATATAATAGCAGCATCTATCATTCTTTGGAAAGAAGGCAAGTTTATAGTGTTAAGGTCAATACCTGCCTCATAAAAGAATTTACCTATATGCTTTGAGGCAACCAGCGCTAAATCATCCTTCATTTCTTCCTTGATGACATTGACATCTTCTTTTTTGACAGAGAAAGGGACACCTCCCTCTTGGGGTGCCGTTTCTTCAGTATTGTTTATCTGCTGTAAAGGAGTTGGCTGAGTTGATTGAACATGGGAACCACTTCCAATTCTATTTGATGTCTCTTGAGATGCAGTTTCTACAGCAAAATTTTCATCTACTGTAGTTAATGGTAGAGAAATCTTCCTCTTTAGAGGAAGATCTGGATGGTACAACTCCCCAACTTGCTTCAACAGCCTCTGTTTCTTCTTTTCTAGAAGAGCATTCTTCATGCCCTGCTTAACATCATCCAGTGCTTGAACACATGCTAATACATCATGGCCAACACCGCCTAAGTGATGCTTAAGACGGCTGAAGCCATGAACCACCTTATCACAATACTTGCACTTCACCCATTTTTTCTCCTTGTCGAGAGCAATCCCATGGCTCTCAATTGCGTCACTTTCACTCATTCTCTAAGCAACTAATCCCTTTAATGGCTATCCTAAGCGTGAAGTTTGAACTGCAAAAAGGATACAATTATTGGCATATCATTTTGACTTGGTCAAAAATACTATTCACCACCATGTAAATGATACAATTATTGGTAAGCACCCACAATTCAAACCTTCAACTATCAGTAACTAGACCCTCTACAGCAAAAAATCAAACCTTCAACTATCAGTAACAATTGGCAATAAAAAAAAGAAACAAACAAAGAAAAACTATTGGTTGACATCTCAGATATTTCCATTTTTTAAACCTAAAAGAAACTAGTAGAGGACCAACTCACTTACGACGAGTTTTCTGTTTAGACAAAACAATTTAATTATTCTTGATTACCTTATATCATACGTGAAGCCTTAATGCCACCTAGTTTAGGGTCTATCTAGCCCCACATTGACTAATCAGGAACTCACTTGTGGGTTCATACGAGAGGCATAGGTTCCCTACATCTAAAGACATAACTTTGAGAGGTGAATTCTCTTGGTCTCCTAATGTAACCGAGTAGCTCGGGTGGTGAAGCTAGTATTGCAATGTTTGACTAATTTAGTACAAAGCCAAAGTGGTGATATTGGGATTGCAGTGTTTGATCAAGAGTAGACTAGTGCATGTCCAGCTTGCATGGGCATGTGACTGCAGAACAATAGTGGTACTTTTAGTCCCTGTAGCCCCACCTCGACTAAATGGGGAGTCAATTGTGATTTATAAGAGATTTTTATTCCCTCTAATCACTAGCTTTTAGGGTTGAGTTCTCCTAAGTCTCTAACACCCAGCTGAACTTCATGCAATTGGATACCACCAAAAGTGTTCTACTTGAAAGCAAGGATGAAAAAAAACAACGTCAAATTTTCAAGTATCATTAATCATCTCATGATCTTCCAGCTACCAATCAGAGAGAAACTAACTTGAAACCAGAAAGTGTTTCCTACATCAATAGCTTCCTTATGAAAAAAAAAAAGAACACAGGTACTAAGTAACTAATTTCAGGAAAATAGTCTGATTTTTTAGCCAATGTACCAACCTTTAGCACGTAATCAGGCTTCAAACTGAAAATCAGCTGCATTTCAAGTTTCTTGCGTTCAGCTATGTTTTATCCAAAGTTGTGAAATCTCATCTAATTTCCTTTGCAAAGACTGTATCTAGCCATGAAGTACAAACTTTAATTTCAAGTATTCACAACTTTAAGAACCATTAATAAGATGGGGAATTAAAACAGATCCCCAACCTTTGGTTGACGATGCTGAAGCCCATAATGAGTTTGATGATTAATTTTTAAACATAACAGGAACCCATGAACAAAATTAATTGAATCTTTAAAAACTACATTCTACAAAGCTTTAGGTTCTTCTGAAAACCACAGAACTTATATAGGTTTGGGTAGCCAGAAGTTTGTAAATAAAATGAAAAGAAAATAAAATAAAGAACTCTCTCAGATGACATGAGACACAGCAGACATGGAACTCAAAATAAAGATAATATCTCAAGGGCAAGAAGAACTGACCTTTGAAGGGCTTTAGGTTATCAATGAGAGGAAGAAAAGGGGTTTACTCCTCTCTCCGCCGCTCTTCTTTTTTTCCCTCTCTCTATTTCTCTCCTGAAAAAAAGCTCTCTTCTCTCTCATTTTTTTCCCGACCTTTTCCCTTCAGAGAGGGGAGGCCAACGACGAAAAGTGGACAAATTTTCAAAACAACTCATTTGAGTTTTTATTTGCAAAAAACGCCCCGTTTTTAGGATATTTGCAAAATCCGACCTGGTTTCAGCGCTGAACCTTGTTTCAGCGTCAGCACTGAAACCAGGTCGGTTTTTAAAAAAAAAATTTCTAAAACTTCACGGGAGTTCAACTCCCGTGAAGTTTCTTAGTTCAAAAAAAATTTTGAATTATGAAACTTCACGGGAGTTGAAAATTTAGTTCAAAAAAAATTTTGAACTCCCGTGAAGTTTAGCAGCTTAATTAAAAGCTGCTAAACTTCACGGGAGTTCAACTCCCGTGAAGGTTTGGAATTTTTATTTTCAAAAACCGACCTGGTTTCAGCGCTGAGGCTGAAACCAGGTCGGTTTTTGCAAATTTATTTGAATGGGGTCGTTTTTTGGCAATAAATTCCTAAATGGGTTGTTTTTAAAAATTTGTCCGACGAAAAGTACTAGAGAGCTTAAAAGCAACGTGCAGTTTTTATTTTCATTTTCCTTTTTGCTTTGCTTGGTTTGGGAGTTTATTTTATGGTGTGTTTGGGAGTTTGCATAGGAAAAGGAAGGAAGCGGAACAAAGACAAAAAAATTTCTCCTTCCTTCCCTTCTCTTCAATTACACCCCAATTTGGGGTGTAAAAACTTGGGCCAAATTTCCCCTCCATTCCCCTCCTCTATCCTCCTTAATAAAACTCCAAAACAAGGTTAAAATGAAATTTCTCTTCCCTTTCCCCTCTCTATCCTCCATCCAAACAGGCCATTAGAAGGTAAATAATAAAAAAATGTAGAGAATGAAAACGAAAAGATAAAATATTATTTGGGAGTTTAGTAAAGAGAATGAATATAAATTTGTTTTATCTTGTTTGAGAGTTCTAATAAAGAGGAGCAAAGTGAAGTGAATATATATAAAGTTACATAAATACCCTTACATATTGGATAAGAATATATCTTAGCCATTGATTTTAATGTTATAAGGGTATAATTGCCTTATCACATTGTAAAATTTTACATTGGTTTTCATTTCATCCTTTACTCTCAAATTGGAGGGGAGGAAAATGGAAGAAAATTTAACCTTCCATTTCATCCTCTAACACCTTAAAAAGACTCCCAAACAATATATGAAATTGAAATTTTACTTTAACTTTCATCCATTAACCTCCATCCAAACAAGGTGTTTTGGGTTTGATGGAAGATGCTCCTTTTTGGCTAAATTTCAGACAATTATCTTCTCAATAGGTACTCCTCATATTTTAGGCATTTTCGAAATTTGCCCCTCAATTCATCATAATTCTGAATTTACCTTTCAAATTGATTCCTTCTCTCAAAATCACTCCCAACTCATATATTAAGGATTAAATTACTTCTATATCCTCTGTTTAATAATTATTTCAAAAATAAAAATCAAGGAAAAGAACTGAAAAACAGTATTATTCTTAAAACCCACACTTTATCGATTCAAAAACCTAAAATTTAGATCACGTTCTTCTTGTTCCTCTAGCATTGACATCTTCCTCTTTTCTTACCACAGAATCTCAATGAATTGCTTTCACCGAATAAATAGTTGTCCCCTCATTTTATTGAAATAGTACTATTCATAGTCCACAGCTATCTCAACAATGGATAATAGAGCTGACGTTCATAAGACACAATGAATTTTGTTTGATAAAATTGGCAAGCAGTAACATTGCAAGAAATTGATGTACTTCAAAAATATCATAATTCAACTACCTAAATGATCAATACTACATCAGAAATTTTTATTAACAAAAATCAGGTAATTAGCCCCAAATATCAACAGATGTTTCTTCGTTAAATCCTTGGAACCATTAGTGACTTTCAAAAATTATTTATCTGTAAGCTTCATTTTCTCAGCAGAAACGATAGTTTGGGATTTACAAGAAGGCGATAAATAATTTCGTTAAGATGATGATGAGACTTCATCAGTAATTTGGCTAGCTAAGAGAGGTCTGTAGGCATATAAAATTGCTTATAGGTCCCTTATCACAGTTCGGCATAAACCGACGAACCAACGAGGCGACGAGATCGACGAATCGCACGCAAGCGACGGAATGAATCCACCCGCGTACAGAATCAAGCTAACGAATTAAGGAATCAACGAGTCATCCAACCGAGAACAGACTCGGACGAATCGCGATCGAATCAAGATCAGTTTCGGACTCGAACTCAGAAGCGGATTTACTGCCAAATCAGGAATCCGACCTACTGCCAAATCAGATCATCAAATCAGAGTCTCAAGTCAACCGAAACACGGACAAACGAGACAACGCAAAACGACAAAAGTCAAACACCCGCGGGGGCTCGGCCAAAAGCCGAGCCACCTCAAGGTGGCTCGCCTTTTTGCAGCCACTGTCCTGAGAGCCTATAAATAGGCCTAGAGATGTTCATTTTCAGAGGTCGAACTTTCAAGAGCCGAAACTCTGCCGGATTGAAGAGTGAACTCGGAGCTTGAAGACCAGAAGACTTGCACCATTCAGATCTGATCCTCGGCGACCATCCACGTCAGAAAAGGCAGGATCTCGAGAGGAAGAAAGAACAGATCTGAGATCTACACGAGACTACACTCCAGATCTAAGCTTGGTCTTAGATCTCGAGATCTGAGCGATTATTCCCTTGGTGGATTAATCCCTCCCGGCTATTATTCCCTTCGTGGAATAATACCCGCATACTCGTGTAGATCCGACCGGATCTAGATCGCGCGGTGGTCCACGGATTAACCCCGGCGCAGGCAAAGAACCCACCAAAGCGAGCGACCGCAAAACAGGAGCTCGTGATTTGTTCACAGAGGAGAGTTGTAATTTTTCTTTATTTTCTTTGATTTAGTTGTAACCGGATCTATAAAAGACCGGATCTTTGTAACCCAAGATGACAATCATATCAATGAAAAAGAAAACAGTTTTCCACGCGAACAATCTGGCGACCACAGTGGGAGCCGACGATCTCGCCAATGAGATCGATGCGTCGCAGCCGCGGATTGCAATCCCGGTCGTGGAGGAGGTCGAGTACGAGTTCGACCAAGCCAAGTTCGAGGAGTACGTGTCCTCGTCCGGCTCTATCTCCCCCCGCAAGTCCAAGAAGTTCTCCTCCGGGAGAAAAGCTCGTTGGTTTGAAGCTGCTCGGGAAGCTCACGAAGCTCTCAACCCAACTGACGCCGAAGTTGCGTCAAATGAAGTTCCACCGACCTCCAATCAGGTCAACCCAACTCCCGCCAACGCCTCCACTGTTCAGGGCGTTGTGACTCTCTCAAAGAGAGCCCGCCAGAGGCGTCGTCAACGCCTTGCGCGGCAATTCGCTAAGGCGATGGAGTCTACGGACGGATTCCGCTACCACGCGGAGTTGAAGAACAGAAGAGGCAAACAGCCTCAACCACCAATGAATGGCGACTCTTCCAAGCCGCCAAAGAAAGAATGGGTCCGCGTCAAACGGAACCGTTCGACGCTCGAGGAGCGCATTCGCAAGCGCCGCGCGATGTCAGCGCAGGCACGGGCTCAAGCTCAGGAAGCCCGTAGAAAGCTGCAACAGGAGGCGGAGAAAAAGCCACCACCAACACGCCAAGTTTGGAAGCCTAAGTCTGAAGTGGCGACTCAGGCCAAAAAGCAACCAGTGCAGCCTTCTAAGGAAGGTCAAACTCCGGCGAGTCAACCAAAGTCGCCGTCAATCCCAATAACTTCTCCGGGAGATCATGCAGAGTCATCCCGCAAGAAGGAATCAATTTTGGAGCGCCTCGGTCCAGTTCCTGACGTGAGAGGCAAAGCTCCAATTCACGAGCGTTTGGGCCCGATGAAGAAGCCCAGAACGACCCAACATACTGGGGGTCGCCATCACCTCCAGCATGATAAAGAGCTCAAGGCAGCTACGCGCACCAATTTGCTCATTGAAGTCCAAGAGCACGCCGAAAATTCACGCCCAAAAAGGCATGTTTTGAGGCGGGTAGCCTTTGAAAGCCCAAAGAAGGCAAGTCAACCTCAGATGGAAACATTATCATCTGATAATGATTGTGTTGTACCTGAGAAGGCGTGCCCGCACACGATAGGTTACTCTGACTGTCAAAATGACGAGTTGTACTATCGTGCTGGGGGTACGAATAGAACCAGGAAGAGGAGTCCCCGAGAACGGGAAATTCAATGTCCCTGTTCCAAACTCATTCGGGCGGTATTGTCTGAATGCAATTGCATTAAGACGGTCCCCGAAAGAGTTTCAGTTTTTAAAAGACTCAGTGCGGAGACGCCAAAACCAAAGCCTAGGCGCTTCCAACGAAGAAGAAGGGTGATTGAAGACGGAGAATTTCCGAGGGTCACCACCAATATGACCAGCAAAGGGACATCGGCACGGGATGATTTCGTCCAACGAAGAAGAAGGGTGATTGAAGACGGAGAATTTCCGAGGGTCACCACCAACATGACGAGCAAAGGGACATCGGCACGAGAAGATTTCGAGTCGATTCTGAAAGCTTCCCGACCTAGAACCCGTCTGCAGTCCGGAACCATAGAGCGAGCAACTTATGGTAGGATTCGGACAAGACGCCCTTCAGAAGATGAAGAATCCGATGCCGGCTCCGCGGTGGCATCAGATAATACAGTATCCAGCGAGGGACAACCCCGCGAGGCCCTGATGATAAGCGCGGAACAGATGGCCAAGATGCTTGAAGACGCTTTGGCTAAGCAGAAAGAAAGTTTCAAATTTGAGATGGAGATGGCCATGCAGCAGATGAGAGAAATGCATGACCAACAGATCCAAGCATTGGCGAACCAACAAGGCGAGCAGAATCATCGTAACCCGATTAATGTGGAAGATGAGGATACAAATGCTCGTAACACCAATGATCCTCCCGTCAACGCAGGGGGTGGTAATGAGAATGCTGGCGAAGAAACCGGCGAAAACCTGAAGATCAAGAACCTCGAGAGCAAAATCAACACACTAATTTCCGCTCAAGAGACGA